ACTGCCCTGGGGAGCTGTTCCAGTGCCCAGTCACCCTCTGGGGGAAGAAACTTTTCTGAATATCGAACCTAAACCTCCCGAGACAGCTTCAGGCCACTCCCTTGGGTCCTGTCACTGATCACAAACAAGAGAGCTGTGCCGGCCTCCCTCCTCTTCTCCTCGTGAATAAGTTGTAGACTGTGAGGACATCTTGCTTCGGTCTCCTCCAGGCTGAACAGACCAAGTGACCTCAGCCTTTCATCAAGGCTCTTCACCACCCTCACTACCCTATTTTGGGCACTCTCTAACAGTTTCATGTCTTATATTGTGGCACCCAAACCTGTTCCCAGCACTGGAGGTGAGGCTGTCCCAGCTCAGAGCAGAGCAGGACAATCCCCTCCTCCCTTACCTGGCTGCCTGATGCCCCTCAGGGCAGGGTTGGCCCTCCTGGCTGCAGTGCTGACCCATGTTCAACTTGCCATAAACCAGGACCCCCAGGTCCCTTTCCACAGCCCTACTTTCTAGCACATTCATTTCCCAGTCTGTCCATACATCCAGGGTTGCCCCATCCTTGGTGCATCTCAGAATCTGGCACTTTCCCTTGTTGCACTTCATGTTTGGTGATTGCCCAGCCTTCCCCACTTTATGAAGGTCTCTCTGCAGGGCCTCCCTGCCCTTGAGGGAGTCAACAGCTTCTCCCAGTTTAATACCATTGGCAAATTTACTCAGTATCCATTCAAGTCCTGCATCCAGGTTGTTAATAAAGAGGATGAAGAGCACAGAGCCAAGGGTGGAGCCCTTTGGAACCCCCATAGTGACAGGTCACTATTGAAGTGGAGGGAGACGACCCTTGATGCTTCCTTGATCAGCATCAACTCCATTTATTGACTCAGTCACTTTTTATAACCGTGTTAATTAAGTTCATGCATATTGCAAAACCCGAGCTCACAATAAGTCAGAGATAACACACCAACCCCTCCTTTTGTTTCCAATACCAAGATTTGTGTTCTCAAAACTTACTTTTACTTTCCCAAAACAGCCAAAGATAGAATATCCACTTGTTATGAGAAAGCTGCCTGAGAACTCCGGTATGCAAGGTTCTCAAGGCCTTCATGTTTGTCACTTTTACTTGTAATTAAAAACAACCTGAGAACTTCTACTGTTTACAGAAACAGGCTGTGTCAATTTGCTCCTGACTGCTGCCTTCTAAGCCATTTCTGAAAAAATCTCCAACAAGTCACCAGTCTGCTGTCACCCCATTCACTGAAATCCCCTGTGCCCAACCCATGAGCCAGTTGCTCACCCATTTCACGAGGCATTTATTGTGATGTGCCCAGGACATGTTCTTCCAGGAGGATACTGTGAAAGTATTGAAAGCTTTACCGAAATCCTAAAAGATTACTTGTTCTGGCTCCCCTTGTTTATCTAGGTGTGTTACCTTGTCATAAAAGGAAATTGGGTTTCATAAGCAGGACTTTCTTGTCATGAAGCTGGGCTGGTTCTGACTGAAACTTGCATTGTCCTTCAGGTGTTTTCAGGAACTCACAGAATAATCTCCTCCAAAATTTTACCAGTCACTGAAGTAAGACTGACGGGTCTGTAGTTTTCAGGGCGATCTTTGTTGCCATTTTTGAAAACTGGAACAATGTTAGCCAGATTTCAGTTGACTGGGACCCCCTCCAAATTCCCAAAATAATTCAAAAATCATTGAGAGACCTTGCAGTGACATCAGACAGCTCTTTTGAGTACTCTTTGATGAATCCCATCAAGCCCCAAACACTTAAAAGGGATCCAACAGATCCTGCATAAGTTCAGGGTCCACTAGGAGCTGATCATTCTCACAGTCCTGGTCCTCCGGACCCCCATGTCCCATAATCCATGCTGAAGAGAGGCAAAGAAAGCAGTAACATCTCTGACTGAGATGGTGAGGTGACCACCCTCATCTGTAGATGAGGGCCAATGTTTTTTCTGCACTGCCTTTTGCTATTGATATATTTAAAAACCTTCTTTTCATTGTGCCCACAGTTTTGGAAGCTTCAACCCCAGTTGAGCTTTGACCACATTAATGTTCTTCTACAGCAGGGAGCACCATCTCCATATTCCTCGCATGCACGTCCCCTGTCCTTGCCTCACCAAGCACACACCTTCTTGGTCTGCCTAGACTCAAAAAGAATATCCCTACTCGCCTAACCCGGCCTCCTGCTTTGCCAGGTTGGCTTCTGACATTTTGTGGTTGCTCACTCCTGCATTTCAGATCTTGAAGATAATACCTGAAGTTAAACCTGCAAGTTCAATCACCATGGCAGCTGCAGTATGAAGCTGTCTTTGGCAGATGGCCACGATGATTGGCCTCCACAGACTGTGACTTCTGGCAACCTCTAGCACTTCACAACAGACTGATGTTAAGGGGAATGATGACATGGCTGTACAGCTTGACCATCAGATAAGCAGCATTCTCATTTAGCTTACAAATAGAGGTTAGTCACTATATGCTGGATTTAGTCATAAAATGTACTTTATTCAAACCCCAAGAAACTCAAATGACTTCCACTTGTACCCTTGAAAGTATTTCTGTAAAGATGTTACTGGAAATCCTCATATAAAGCATTTCTCATTTTTTACCATCCCTTTTTATCAAACCTTATACCAAAAAAAAAAAAAGGTACTGTATATTTGACAAGGATGCTGAATTGCCAAAGCCACCTAGTTTTCACACAAGTATTGATAAGCTAACTCATCTATCACAACTGTTTCAGATATAAGGGAGCACCTTGCCACTGCTTCAGAGTTAATTCAGATTGGATGCAGAGAAGAAGGTCCTGATTGTGTGATGCAATCACTCTGCCCATACAGCTGCTTGGGCTTTTGCTGCCTTAATTTACTGCCCATTTACAAACCAGAAATAACTTAAATACACAAACTCTGACATAACTACAGAATGGGCCTTAATGGCCCTAAACTGTCTATTGAAAGATACAAAAATAAGAGCTGAGACTAACTGGGCAGTCACTTAGTCTCACAAGGAATAAGGCTGATTGTTTCTAAAGAAAGAAAACACAGCTATGCACAAAATTTAAAGCAGAGTTAACTTCAACAACAGCATCCCTCCTTCAAGAATGGAGTTTACTACAGTTAAAATATTGTTTGAATTTCTTGAGGTTTGAATAAAGTACATCTTATGACTAGCTGGAATGTGGAAATCTGCAAAATCCAGCATATAGTGACTAACCTCTATTTGTGAGCTAAATGAGAATGCTGCTTATCTGATGGTCAAGTCCTGCAGAGCTGTTCATCGTTCAAGTACATAGAGGACTGTTGTGGAAATGTTACAAGTGCCTGGATAGCACTGGGAAATGCTATAGCACTGTTTATATGAATTATGTATTGCTTTGGAACTTCATATTAACATACAATCAGAGGGACCTCTCCTCTTCCTCAATACAGGATACAGTGCTCTGTATCACCTTGTCAGCAAGGCATAAACTTGCATTAGGAAGAGAATCTGCAAGAGATTTGGGAAGTTTGAAATAACTTGTAAAGGAAAAATCAAATCCAAAAGCCAACCACAGATTCAGGTTAATGTTTCTGAGATTCAACTAGCAACACACAGACAGGAGATTATTAAAAAGATTTTTTTTTCTCATTTTTTGTCATGAAAAAAAAACCTGCTTGGACATTTTCATCATCAAAATACTCACAGCATTTAATAAATTGCTAAAATTAATATCCAGCTGGTGTCATAGAGATTTAGCTACAAATGGGCATTGTATGCAATGCTGGATTTCACTCAGAGGACTCATTCAGAAAGACTTACCAAATCTAGACCAGACTGAGCTGTCCTGTGACAGCTTCTGGGATCTTTAGAACCTATGACTTAGTGTAACCTTTTTGTTCCATTTGTCATTCAAGATGCATCACTGAATATGAAAGAGGACCACATCATACAAACAGCAAGCTTCTAATACGATTCTTCTCTGTTCTGTAGTTAAGCACTGAATGCTCTCAACTCCCACACCCAGACTGTGGCTAGCTTCTCCCTGCCTTACTGGAAATATGGGAATGACCCACTAAAATTTCTTAATCTGCAGGGACACATTTTGAAATATATTTGATCTTAACTTTTAATTAAGAAGACAAATGGGTTGTGTTAGAGACAGCATATTTGAGGCAAATTGATTTAATGAAAGAGTAAACTCATATTTTGCCAATCCCTTCTCTCTACGGCTAAAGAAGGAAAAAAAAATGCCCCCACAAAAAAACTACTGATTGCTGCTTTAGAACTCAAGCTAGCTCTCTATATGATCCCCCATCCAATACTAAAGAGGATTGGGAAGCCTGTGTATTTATGTATTTATTCTATGTATTTATGAAAGAGGAGGAGATAGGGGAAAGATGAGGAGTAGCAACTTGTGAGGCAAATGCTGAAGTTGCAACCAGAGCTGTATAGTAGAGGATGTTTAAAGCAGCTGCTGCAGCACCCCAAAGCAGCCCAGCCCCAGCAGCTGGATTTGTCACAGTTGTCATGGGCAGGGCATTCCATTTTCTGCAGATTCCTGAAGGATAAGAGAACTATCACCATCTTTTACAAGTGGTTGGTTCATTGAAATACACAGGCCAACAGCTGGCGGGTTTACAAGACAGGGAAAAAAAAGAAACTTTTTTTTTTCTCCTAAAAAAAAGCATGGATTTACATTCAAATTACTTAATACACCACTAGAAAGCAGTAAGATATGGGAGTGATCAATGGAGTCCCGCAAGTGCTTCAGATACCTGTGTTTCAAGACATCTAAGATAATCAAGTCAGCACTGGCAGAATCTGCAGCTACAGGACTTCAACAGGATTCAGTTTGTCACTTTTCTGTATGTGGATTGTCAGAGCAGGCTGTCTTCCCCCAACCAGAATTAGCTGAACTTTTCAAAAGAAAAGCAGTTAGCTCTAACTTTCCTAAAACAAAGATTGCCACTAACATACTCTTAATTCCAGAAGACTTTAAAAAAAGGAATATCCTGTCTTGACAAAGTTTCAGTTTAACAAGAGATTAGTAGGAACTACAATTTGCCACATTTTAATTAAAAAAAAATTACATAACAATAAAAGAATGATACTAAATAAAAAGGTGCACAATGAACACTGCATACACAGTAAACAGCTGGCAAAATTATTTAAAAAGCAGGCTACAATTCAGTAATGGTGAAATGCAGTTTCTTCTCTACAGAATCAGTCCTCAGAGTCAGAAACCAGGGACAGCAAAGGCCTTCAGATGTAAGCTTTTATTTGTAGGAAAGACCCAAGAGTTTAACCAGCATTCTGAGCTTCTCTCTCAGAAAGCGTTCTCCTCCCTACAAATTCAGTGCCACCCATCCTTGTTTAAATATGGCAACTGCCAGAGTTTTCAAGGTAAGATATATACAGACCATGTTCTCATCCACAGAGGTTTACAAAGCCTTGGATACGCAGAGCTTCTTAAAGCCATGGTTTCTTTTGCCAGGTATTCTCAAACATCCATATTTATAGTCCATAGCAGCCAAACTACTGGAATGTTGTAAAAGTGTATTACATTTTTGCATGCCAACTTATCTGTAAAAATCATACTTACTTACTCAGAAAAAAACACCAGATAGTCTTCAAGTGCAAAGGGCTCCTTCCTGCTCACAGGAGAGGATTACATACCTAACATGAAACCCAGCAAGTATGCTCAAACCCCAAGCTGTTCAGTGGTTTTAACAGCCAGAGCAACACATTCAACAATGTCATTCACTGAATTAATCCTGGCACATGTCAGTTTCAGTTGAAAATCCCAGGATCAACATAAGGATATGCAAGGAACTCTCCCAGTTTATTGCCTTCTGCATCATAATGGAGCATCCGAAAACAAACATCACAGAAGAAACAAGGATCCTCTGGTGCCAGACTGTCTCTGTTGGTTACCCACCTGCAGGTTACAAAACACAAGTGTATTCTTATGAGTGAAACACACTTGAGGCAAACATCTCAACATTTTACTCAGGATTGGGGATGGCAGCAACAAACAACAGTAAAAATTTTATAAACACAAGGTTCTACCTATATTACATATCTCCTATCCCATGCATGCAACTCATTTCCAAACTCCACACCCATTCCATGTCAACCCCAGCAGCTCCAGCAGCACTTCCTGAGAAACTCTCTAAAGCTGTATTGCTGGTACAGTGCATTCAAAAAACAAAACAAACCAGGAATCTTCTGTCCACCCTTTGGCCATCTAAATCATAAAAGACAAATCTTTTTCTTCCTTAATGCAAAAAACTCTGAAATGGAGTAGATGTGTACTGACCCAAGCTCCTCGGAGTAATCAAAACCATTTAGGAGTCTAAAAGCAGGACCCAAATGATGCAGACATGAAAAGGTGAGGATTGCAGCACACTCCAGCAAGCACTGAAGTTAACATGAACACAAGTTAACATGTTTAAGGAGGGCCTGCCATGGCAATGAGTAATTAATTTATGATAGCACTCAAGAGGCCACGACAGCTGAAGGCCTCTGGTGATTACAGATGTTATCTGCACAGATTAGAACACACTGGACAGCCAGCCAAAGCAGCTCTGCTGTCTATGGTTTAGCATGTCCCCACTTAAGCTTAGTGCTTAATCCTGGTTTTAATTTAATGCATTTACATCACCTCTGGTAATGCCCTCCCCATCCCATCCTTCCCCCATATTGACCCTTTGGCTCCACCTCCCCTTATGGCCAAATGCCTCACAGATTATATTGTGAAGGCATCCTCAGGGCTCTGCTAGGAACACAAGGATGGACTCCCATCTCAGGGGGAATTGGGTCTTTGCCTGATTCTAGAGAAGTCTAAGGCCAAACAAGCAAGACAATGAAGACACAGATGCAGTGTCAAACAGAGGCTAAGAACATAAGTTTTCCTAAAGAAAAAATATTCTGCTCTTTTAAGGAAAAGGCAGAAAATCACAAAGAATTCCTTCAAGAACAGCTGCGGAGCACACAGTCTTCAGGTAGCGGTTAGGAGCTTCCTTGGGGCAAGTTAAATGCCTTTAAAAAATCTCGAGATTTTAGTATATTAGAATTGCACAGATCTATACCTGCATAGATGCTAGATTAAGCAAAAGCACTGTAAGATTTTTGGTAAATTATTTTGAAACATGTATCTTGCAAAGGAGGAAAACACAGCCTTTTCCTCCAAAAGCAGGATTTTCAAAAGTAATTGATAAGATAGCCAAGCTCTAGATATGGAAAAGAGCATGAGCCAAATAATTAATCTCTTACTCATTTAGTTCTTTTGAAACTGCTGAATCAATTCCAAACGAACACTACTTGCAGGAAGCCTTTTCCTGGTTAGACAGAGGTCAACTGCTTGAAGAGTGAAGATTATTCTTACTATGAAACACATACAGAGCTTTGATTTTTACTATTTTTTAAAGTTAGCAGCAGCACCTAGAAAGAATTGAGACAACAATAGCATCAAGAATGTAGCATACCTTGCTGTATACATCTTGCACACAAAACATTTTCTGGTACATAGCCAATGTTTCTTGACCAGCAAGGGATACAGATTCCTATCCAGACAGTCATCATGATGAATAAGCCTTGAGGGAAATAAATAAATACAACACATGCAATAAAGATGTTGCCATACTGAAATTTATCTGAACCTAAGCATGGACGTTGAAGATAGGGTATGATTTAAATTCCTATGTCAGCTCTGACTAGATTTCTGCTTAACATTTCTTAACATAGATGAAAATCTGGAGATAGACTGCTAGTTGCATCATCTGTGGATTTTCTGGTCACAAGTAAATTCAGTTTGTGCAGTAACACAGAAGTCTTGAGACCATCTCCTTTCTGTGGTCTTTTTAAAGCTTTTATTTCCTATGTAGACTAACAAACTATTGTCAGGGGAATCTTCAGATAATTCATGTGCAACACCTATGCTTTCCTCTGGGTTATGCTCCTTTTGGAAAGCACCATGTATTATAAACACTTTGATACATCAGGCTCCTGGGAACAGAAAATTACTCACTGCAGACAACCACAGGAATGCTCTCTCTAGTTATTCACTGAGCAAAGTCTTCACAATGGTTCTACTGTTGATGTGGCTGCCACCTCATGGTCACTATCACATCACTTCTCTTCCTGGCCTATCCATCTCAGCCCACTATTTCCATTCCTCTTTTATCTTTTCAGTTCCTGCCCCTCAGCTTCAAGTTCACACTAATTGTCATGTTGAGTCCAGCCACAGCCTACAACATTCTGCCCCCTGGTGCTCCAGAATCAGAATGTAAATCTGCCACACATTGACTCTACATGGAAAGATCTTGACACTGTGGTTGCCATTCCTGTTACACAGCAGTCATAGCACACTAATTGCAAAGCAGTCTTTGCATGCAAATGAAAAAGAAAAAAAACAAGGAAGATTACTGTCTTTCTTTCAGAGATACTCCCATGTATATGGAAGAAAAATTAAAGCTCTGCAGAAGCCAGCAGAATAATCTTACAGCAAATAAGTTAGTCTAACAAACATTCAGCATCTAATGTCTGAAGTTTGTCCAGAGAAGGCTTACTTTCATTTGCCCAAGGACTCCCAAAGAATAGTTACTTACCTTATATCTGTGATTATAATGATGTGTTCACAGTTCCCTTGGTGACAGTAAAGGTATGGAAAGCCAATTTTGAGGGATAAATCATTAAATGCATAGTCCTCCATCTTGGCAGACTGAAGATTTTCATAGCCTCTATCATGAGATTCTGACCACTCTATAATTGTTCTGAAAACAGAAAGGCCATCAGCATAGCAAAGCTATGAACTGCGAATACAGAGAAAAGATACCTTGGGGACGTGCAAAATCCTTCACTGAGACATGGTTAAATGATGGAAATCAAAACATCTGGTAGTAATTTAAGGTGATTTCACAGCAATACTACAACACTATAGAACTGTCCACTGTTCTTGTGAAACATCTGCCTTTCAGCCCTCACCAGGCAGCTTTCTGAGGAGTTTTAGACAGTGTATGCTCCTGATGGCACCCATCCAGGGTCAGACTGTTTGCAACACAATACTTTTTAAGTAGTCCAATAATTCAAGTTACTAGCAGATTATTTTGCCCCCTTGGTCAATGACTTCATTTTAAAGTATTAAAAAGCTTTCTTTTTTGATTTCATTTTTGTCAAGGAAAAACACAAAGCTGACAAGTGCAGTTACATTTCCAAAATTTAGCACTGGAAGGGCTACTGAAAATTTCCTTCTGGCTTTTCAGCACACTTCTACACACAAGGCCTCTAACAAGCTGTGTACGCTATGACAAGCCCTTCTGTGAGCACCATTGCTGTTCACAGACAGAAAGACAAGAAGTAAAATGTGAATTTCCCTGAAGTCACATACAAAGTCTGGCAGAACAACAGGGTCCAACAGTCAACTCTTCCATACCAACCATTTTAAACATTTTGATCTCCTAAATCTCACTACCGTATCAGCAATACCATGCTTCCTTAAAATAATCAAATTTCTTTTCTGATCAGTCACAGAGACCTCATGTTAACTTTACAATTAAGGCATTCAGCATATTTTCAAGACTGAGCAGGACAACCACTGCCACACAGCTGAGCTTGTTGTCTTTCTGACACATCTTCTAGCTCTGATACATCTACAGGCAAGTCTTTTGATTCCCATCACAAGTAGGGAAGGCACTTAAAAACCCAGTACAAAATGCCACCTGTCACTTTACAAAGAAATCTCATCTCAACAGAGCAAAACAGCATTTGCAGGTTAAAAAATGGATTCATACTCTTTTCAAAAGGGAAGTGAATGGAAAGAATAAGTAGAGCACGTAAAGTTAAACTTCTCTAAAAACCAACTCATCATGGGAAAACAGTAGGGAAAGTCCATTGCAGCTTAATACTCTAGACATTCCAGTATCTGTAACACCACAAGTCATAAACAAAACAAATGTTCCTTAAGGTCTTTCTTCCTCAGTCAACATCTACAAATATCGTACCTGCTCAGATCTCTGCACTCCGGGTATCTTTTATCATTATAAAAGATGCCTTCAAAATAGAAGAAGGCAGATTTGTAGAGATCCTGAGAGACAGAGAGAGAAGTCTCCATTAGTGCTATGAGAGAATAAACACCTTAAACAAGAACATGTCAAAAATCCAAGCATGTTAGATATCTAAATTATATTAAGAGACCTCATTCTACAGGTGTCTAAGAAAAGTTCTGTTCTGATTGTAGATGCTGGTGTGACAAACTAGGCTCATTTGATTGCCAACTATGCAGCTACTCAGCTGATATTGTTCTCAAGCCAATACGGGTTACTTTAATGCTCTTATTTCAGTCCCCATCACAGAAGTTATGGACTTCTACAAAAACACAGAACAAGAACACAGGCATCACTGCACAAACTTAGTAATTGCAAGGCGCTGACTTTAAAAAAAGTACAATATTTTTAAAAATTAGCAAGATGCAGTGTGTTTACTTTGGGTGGCTACCAGATACCTATCCACCTGCTCTCAATCCTCTTGCTTACCAGGACTGGGGAAACAAAGTAAGACAAGTAAGCTCATGGGTTCAAAGAAAGGCAGAAAATGAGAAAAAACAAAGGCTGCATACAGAAGCAAAGCAAAAAAAAAAGTTATTTACTCCCTACTTCCCATCAGCAGGTGATGGTGAGGCATTGGAATAAGCTGCTCAGGGAAGTGGTGAGATCAGCATCCCTGAGAATGTTGAAAAGCTGTGCGAATGTGGCACTTAGAAATATGGTTTAGAGAACACAGTGACAGCAATGGAGTTGATCTGGCATCTGGTGACTCTTGCTCTGCTGGTATGAGTGCCATAAACTGTTAATGATCTTTGATGGGAGAGAATGTTACAAATGGACTGTCTACATGTGACAAACTTTGTAATTAAGGAAGAATTTTGAAGGATGATAGATTTTCTTGTGAGACACTAGAAGTGATGTGATTGGAACTTCCAGGATTGCCTGTTTGACTTGTTTACATAGATGTGACCAGGAAGTGCTCTCATGTGTAGCTGTGCATGTGTGCATGTGTACACGCATGTGTGCAGGAGACAAGACTTCAATAATTCTCTGTCACCTCAGTAAGAAGTACTTTGTGTTCTGATCAAATGCACAGAGAGTTACAGTGGTGTGGAGTTAACTTTCCCCACAGCAGCCCCTGTGCATGCTCTGCATTTTTGGCAAAGGGGAGTCAATAATACACCAGTTTCCTGGCTACTGCTAAGCAGTGCTTGCACACCTTCAAGGCTGTCTCTCCAAGTCTCCCCAAGACCAGTGGGCTGGGGCTAGGTGAGAGGCTGGGAGGGAATGCAGCTGGGACAGCTGACCCAAATTGACCCAAAGGATATCCCACATCATATGATGCTGCACTCAGCAATAAGAGCTGGAGGAAAAGAGGAATGGGGCATTCATGGTGAAAGCATTTGTCTTCCAAAGCAACCACTATGTATGCTGAGTCCCAGGAAGTGGTTGGAACAGAATCGCAGAATCATCAAGATTGTAAAAAACCTCTGATATCATCGAGCCCAACGATCAACCCAGCACTGCCATGTTCACCACTAAACTATATCCCAAGTGCCACATCCACACATTTTTGAACGCTTTCATGGCTGATGATTCCACCACTTCCCTGAGTAGCCTGTTCCAATGTCTGACCACCCCTGCATTCCTCATAACCAATCTAAACCTTCTTTGGTGCAATTTGAGGCCATTTCCTCTCATCCTGTCTCTTGTTACCCAGGAGAACTGACCCCTTACCTGGCTATACCGTCCTCACCCTCCCTTCAGATAGTTGTGGAGAATGATAATGTCTCCCTTGAGCCTCTTTTTCTCCCTCAGCAACCCTTCAATGACTCAATAAAGACTATCCCTATTTATTCTAAATGGGAATACCATGGACAACCAGGCACTCCATTATCAGACCAGTCTGGGGATGCTTATTTATGCCCAGAGGTCTCTTTGAGCTATTAACTCTAGGATGCCAAAACACGGGAAAAGCAGACGCTGCTTTTCCAAAGACAGGACTTCTCAGATCATCTGCATGAAGACGCAGTAGTAGAAATGTGTTTTACATTCAGACTCTTTGATTCACTTCTATCTGTTACTGTTACTCTCTCTGCTGCTGGCACAAAACAGGAAGGAGTGGCTGATACACCAGACGATCCTGTTGCCAACCAGAGGGATCTTAACAGCCCAGAGAAATGGGCCAACAAGAATTTGGTGAGGCTGAGCAAGGAGAATTGCAAGGTCTTGCCCCTGGGGATAAACAAGCTGATGTTTGACTGTATGCTGAGGGCCACTCAGCTGGAGAGCAGCTAGGCAAATAGGACTCAGGGAACCTGGTAGATCCCAAATTGAACATGAGGCAACAATGTGTCCTTGCAAAAAGGATAGCCAATGGAGCAGATGGGATCTTGTGCTGCATTAGATAAAATACTACTAGCAGGTCAAGGAAGGCAATCCTTCAGTTCCCCTCAGCACTACTGAGGCCATACCTAAAGGCCTGTCTTCAGTTCATGGCTGCTCAGTGTAAGAGAGACACGGACATACTGGAAAAAGAGTCCCACAGGGGCCATGAAGATGATGGGACTGCAGCATCTCTCCTAAAAGCAGTGGCTGAGAAAGTTGCAAGTCAGAATCCTGAAGAGAAAGCTCAGGTAGGGGAATCTCATTAACATACACAATACCTCTAGGGAGGGTGCAAAGATGATGGAGCCAGGCTCATTTTAGCAGTTCAAGTGACAGGATTAGAGTCAATAAGCACAGACTGAAACACACACAACTCCTCCTGAACCTCAAGGAACACTTCTTTACTGACACAGGTGACTGAATACTGACAGAGGTCGTCCAAGGAGTTTTTGCAACCTCCATCCTTGGAGATATGTAAAAAACGCCGGGACATGGTCATGAACAGCCGGCTGTGGGTGGTCTTGCTTGAGCAGAGGGAGCAGACCAGACGCCCTCCACAAGTCCCTTTCAATGTCAACCACTCTATGTTGATATTCTATCTAATGTCATATGATGTATAATCAAAATGACTCAATTTCAATATTGTCAACTAGATGATTGTTTTGCTCATACCCAGAGAATACGTAGCAGTTTTGAGAGAGAAGAATAATCTTCATCCCTACATATGATTAGCATCCAGTTGCAAACAACAAAGCACAGTGGGATGGTCTGGCTTTTTATTATTAGTGGGATTAAGCTATTACCTCTGGTGTTTCAGCATACAGCTCAAAATAAAATTCATTCACAGGAATATACCTACGCAAAACTCACTGCTTCTGTTTCCATTTCCTAGCAGTAGCAACGACGATATTTTTCTTGATATTGCACAAAACAGATCACCTTGGTAATGCCACTATGAAGTATTTACTTACAGTGCAACCAACAGGCAGAACCAATGCAGCTGAATTTAGTGCTGAAGACAAAACTATGAAGCAAAACTCAGCCTCCCCTTCTATGTTTTCAAGACTCCTATACATGTAGAGGGTTCCACATAGAAAGTTTTACCTTGCTGATGTGCTCTGGTGCTTGATCTGGCTGACTGCTGAACTCACCACCTATCTGGAGGTCACTGACACAGGAAATCGAGTCTCTCAGTTCAGTGAGCTTCTGGCTGCCCAATACAAGGACTGTTTGGAACGGTTTGTGATCTTTATGCTACAAAGAACACAGAATACAAACCCCAGATAAATTATAACTTGTCAGCATCAGCACTGCTTTTCATTTGACAGCTTAAGGTCATTACTGGCAGCATCTGGCACATCACTTCTCTGAACAGCATCTTGCCACAGCCTCTCCTAAGACAGGTATTTAATAGTTTTATTCAGGAACTCAAATGTTACATTCTCCATCATAAAGTGCAGAAAAGACACAAAGTCTGAGCTCACTTATTCGAAATCAAGAAGAAGTACTTTTGTTTTCATGTATTTATTTTCAAGTTTTGAGCTTTCTGTAAAGTAAATTAACTACTGTGTAATTATTGTAAAAGTTTTGTTATGTAAACCACTAACCGAATGAAAGCTAGATTCTGAAAAAGCCTTAAGAAATTATCAGAGTTGAAGAGTTTACCACATGTCATCAGTAGATTCACTGATTTTAATTGCTTGGGAGAGCAGGATATTATTTGAATAGGAAATAATCAGAATACAACCCAGAGAATTTCATACGAACCTTCTGAAATATAAGAGGATAAAAGATGTTCAGAGTTAAAAGTAGTTCTCCCTCCTCAATTAGATCTGTTGGATCATCTGGCCTCCTTCCAGTTGCATGTGACTCCTGGAAAAAGATACGCACACACACATATATATATTATACTGGCAATCATAAATATACACACACACACAAAATAAACACTGGGCAATGGTCTGAGAAATGCTGAGGAACATTAATTCATTTTTGACTATGTAGCCTTCTGAATCGGAAAAAGCCTATTTCCTCCAAGGTGGAAAGGTGAGAAACTGCTCCAATTACTGACTGCAAGCATGTTTCTTCATTTCTCACCTTTGTTGCAAGACAGCTGGCTGCTCCTTGGCTATTGAGACGACCCACATAAAGGTATTAGAGACTGCTGTCATTCTGCCCTCATGGAACCCAGCTGCTACCAACTTTCACCACTGAACGCTTTCATATGTAAAGGGAGATTGCAACCCTTAATTTGGGAAACACTAATCTAGAAAATATACACAGAATGAAATATATGAAAATTACAGTCAGTGCAGCTCTTCCTCTTATTAGGGAAGCTAGACATAGCTGGAGGCCATAATTTCTCCAAAGCTGAAACCCAAAACGCAGCACTGCCCTTGCCACAGTACTGTGTATCAGAAAAGAAACAAATGATCCCTACATTTTCATCCTGCTTTGTGTTTAAGACACAGCCCAGCTGTGAAGATACTTTTCTGTGGCCGTTTCCTCCTTTTCCAATAAATCAAGAGTTTGTTCCTGCACAAACACCTCCCACCAGCATGGAGCATTCCTCAGATTTAGTAACAGGAACTTGTACTCCTGTAAGACTCAGAGATACCTGTGCTCTCTACTTTGCACCTGCCTTCTTCATGTGACACATTCCAAACTCCTGCTCTCCTCCTGTACAAAGGCATCATGGTCCCAACCACAGAATCACTCCTCTGACACAGCTTGCTTAAAGAATGCAATAAATGACCATGTGCTCATTCTTTCAATGCATACTGCAGTATTCACTGAAACCCTCTATGAAGGTTTCTGTTGCTAATATTTTCTCAGATATTCCCCAGACAAAGAGCCCAGCAGAGCACTTGCATCATGTTGTTTACATAATGTGCCTGGATCTCCAAACAGTTGAAACATGATAACTCTCAATAGACCAGGAAACCTCAAGAGGAAAAACAAGTCTAACAGTCACATGAGGTTCTTTCCTCACTACACTTCTGTCCCTAATTTTTACAGCAGTTCATGGCTTGCTAAAGCCATGGACTCCAGCACTTCATTGTCCCTGAAAGAGTTCAAAGAACGTGTATATGTGGTGCTTAGAGACACAGTTTAGTGGTGGACCTGGCAGTGTTAAAGGTAATGGTTGGGCTCAATGATCCTAAAGGTCTTTTAACCTTAATGGTTCTATGAACATTTATGAAATGAGGTTTTGCTGTTTAGGACTTCAATGGTTAAGAAGAAATCATTAAAAAACCCCAAACTTATTAAGCACAGTTAAAAAATTCCAATAAGGCTTTTCAGAGGCTGATGACTACACTCTTGGCTCCTGGTTCCAGTTTAGAATGGCTGAAAAACTTGGTTTACAAAGCTCAGAATTAGGAATTTACCACCACTGTGCTGCTACAGTTTTCTTCTCTCAGCCCTACTGAAACCAGCTCACAATCATTCACACACTGAAGCTGTTTCCAACACTGGACACCAGCAGCAAAATATTACCCATTCTGTCTATGTCTACTTCTAAGTCTACTTCTAAGTTCACAGCACTTAAAAAGGCAGTCATATAGTGGTAACAAGATGGAGCTCCTCCTTAACTACATCCAGTACTAACAGACAGTAAAGAGCAGACTTCCTGTCCTATCTTTCTATAAAATGACTTTATCTTTAATCATTACCAGCAAACTTGTATCTGCAAACATTTACAGTGTACATTTCATAGAGGTGAATGAAAAAGCAACCAGAAGTTGGATTTTGGCTCTTGAGAGCCTATAAGATAATAGGCAACTTACCATCTCATAAGTAAGAGTTTCTTGTCTGCAAGCCCGATCCACAATAATTGTTTCTTCTCTCCTCTCTAAGGCCTTCTTCCGAATTCTGAGGGGCAACCACATAAGACAAAATTTCATTCAACAACTTCCACCTAGAATTTCAAGAATTTCATATTTTTAAATGACATAAACTACTACAGAGCAGCTTTCAAAGAGCAGGATTCCTGTCTGTCTTAGTGGGACAGACTAACTTAAAACACTCATCTCCTGACTTTCATAAAACCTGAGTGCACAGGCCAGCTTGTGGGTTTTTTCCCCCTCATGTGCAAATGACAGGTGATTTGTGAGTAATTTTTCACTCACAACAAAAAACAGCAAAATCTTTGAAGAGGTTTTACTAGGACAAAACACTTTGTGACATTTAAAGAAACTGTTTCAACAATTCTTTCCACTTCAAAAAAATTGAATTCATGTTCAAGCAAAGCACAACGGAAGAAACAACCCACAAATATTACTTCTCAGCCCCACAGCATGGACACTTCAGAAAACCAAAAACCAAACCTTCATTATCAGTTGTAGAAAAAAGAGTACCATAAGTAGAATACCTACTAAAATACATGCATTTAACCACTGCATGAACACCCAATCCTTAACATCCAGGGTAAGTTTACTTATCCTCCAGACCTCCACAAGGGTTTTCAGTAACAATCAGCCTTAACACTGATCACAGTTCTAAACACATTTCTTTACATCAGTGCTATGTAAAGTACAGCAAAGGCCTGAAGCAGCCAAGTTTGCCAGCTGATAGAAACCTTACATATATTGGTTATCCTCTGAAATGCACCAGATATATCAATAAATTCCATGCACAACCCAAAACTCAACAAAACAGAGTGGGCTCAGATAAAGAGGTTATCGGGATACAGCATCAGTACTTACAGTCTGGCTGTTACAGAGTAACTGAGAGTTACTAGAGGTATGAGATAGGTTTCTTTGCAGGAACCTCACACACATGATTATCAGAAGGCCCCTGCACACTCCAAACTTAGGCACTGCTTCAGAAGCACCTAGGTTCAGAAATCCTTTTCCAACAAGAAAGAAGGCATATTCTGTATATCTTAATAAAAAAGTTCCTAAGCAACATTCAGAAGACTGCCCCTATGGTATTTCTGTAGGGTGCCTGTAAAGGGAACAAGCAGCCAGCCATATTTCCCACCCCACCCCAAACAAGGGTACTGTGAGAGCACTGTAACAGCATACCGAAGAGTGAGCAGACTGCTATCTTCAGGAATAACATCTGGGTCCTCTTCTTTCTCAGAAGACATTAACATATCAATGCTAGAAAGTAAAAAAATAACAGAATCACAGGATTGTAGTACAGTTTGGGCTGGAAGGGACCCTAAAGGATCATCTTGTTCCACTACCCCCAGCACCATTGGCAGGGACACCTTTCACTGGATCAGGCTGCTCAAGGGCAGGTCCAACCTGGTCTTTAACGCTTCCAGGAATGGAGCATCCACAAATTCTCTGGGCAACCTGTTCCAGTGCCTCACCACTCTACACAGTAAACAATTTCTACCTGATATCTATTCTAAATCTAGAGCTATCCCCTTTGGACACAGCAGTGATTTCTCACAGTCTGTGTAGAAGTGCAGGAACCCGGAGGTGGTTTCACCACCTGGTCCCATATATGAGTTCCCATTTCAGGTTGTGCACTGCAGCACACCAGATTCAGAGGAATCATCATATGTACATCCTCTCCTCTCCAGTCCTTCCCAGAAGCATTTTGCATTAATCACAATAAAATTTTATCCAGCTTAAAAATAGTCTGAGGAAAAAATATTTAAAACAGAGAACGGCTTTGAATCAGACTTGATTGCCTTTGTCTCTCACTTTTGCAAAATATATGAAGGCAGGGATTACTCCAGCGCCTAAGTCCACCTGCAGCTTGGATACCAGCAAACTCTTGTGCAAACCCATCTCTTTATGGGACAAAACTACCACTGGTGAAGTCCAGGAAAACTTCTTGGACTATACAATTTACCCTCAATAACATTTATGGTTTCTTTATATTCTTTTTCATTATAATCTTATAACATTCCCCATGTCAGCAATAATATCACTACAGTAATGAATAGCCCTTTGGAGTGGAACTGCATAGGAATTCAAAGTAATTGAGAAATAGAAATCTGGAATCAGCTGTTACCAGCTGACAAATAAGCAAAAGTCAGAGACAAAATTTTGATTGTGGACAGATGGCTTTGTTCTGATGAGCCAATAAAGTCATTCAGTATTGACAGTAAATATAAATTTATTATTGTTCAGTTACTTACCATTCAGCAACAAACAAAATTTTAAACTTTCTGTTTCACAGTTTTCATCTCAAACAGAATTTTTTTTAAGTTAGTGAGAAAATGGGATTCTCTCAGAAGCAGTATTTTAAAAGGAACTTTGCAGTAATGAACCACAACCTCCTGGAAACAGAATGGATTTTATCCTTAGATTCACACTTGAGGAAGTGGAGGCAGAGACAACCAAGGTAATCCTGCATCAAATATAGACTGAAACACAGCTGAGAAATACTAATCTAACTAACAGAAAGATGGAGAACAGCAGTTTGTAGAACACAGTTCAACCTTTTAGATGGGACTCTTCTCCAGGCATCATAGTGCTGTTATGAGCAACCATGTAATCAAGGAAAGGACAACCCCTGACAGACAAATCAACTCACAACTGACCCTTTCTGTAAAACGGACAACATGAACAAGTTATCCAAAGACTCCTGGCACATGGACCAGTGATCCTATACACAAAGAGCCCAAGTCACTTGAATATGTATAATTTTCATATAAATATACCATGTTGAGGAAATGCCTTTGTATTCAGTTTTTTAAACATCACAGGAATTATATGCAGGATCTGAAAATGTTTATTACCTACCATTGGGAAGTTGCACTTGCATCAAAGATGACAGTTTCCCATTTTCCTTCTGTGCCAGAACCCGCCAACAATATGTCAGAACCTACCAAAAATGTTTGTGCTTTTCTTTCTTCCCACAGCCCTAGGTGGGATCTCTGGCTGTGCTATCTACACCATGACCATTAACTGCCTGTTTCAGGGAAAAAACTAAAATCCTTGGAAAAGCTGCTATATAGAGATACCATGTAAAATAACTGACACTAAAACTGCTTCCTCTTTTTCCTTGTGAGGAATGGAAGGCAGCTAGTGTAAAGGGATACTGACACTGAACCCCTGACAAATTCCCATGGAAGCTTGCAAGCACTGGTACTGCCACTTCTCACTCCTGAAAGTCAGAAACCCCCAATTTCTAAAAGAAAAGCAGAGTATTTTCAATACTTTTTAGTATTGAAAATCTGTCTAACAGTTAATTACATATGTATTGTATCACATGCACTGAAGCCTGGAAAGGCTTTGCTGCATGGCTGTACACACAGGCCATGCCAGAGCTCCCCCAGCGTAACTCTGCTGCCAGTGGAACCATGTAAGCAATACTTGGTCCATTGTCCTCAGGAAGCCAGGCTTTACAAACAGGAATGATATGCTGATCCCTTCAGAAATGAAGGCTAAGTCAGTGTCAGACACCTAAGACACAGAAGTGCGTGCAATACAGAGTTTTCACTAGGAACACCTCACTCCTGACTGCTGCAAGCTTAGGATACTACTGTGTCCCCACCAGGACTATTCCCTGCATGCATGACAAATTGACCCAGTGCACTTAGTTATAGAGAGGGGAAAACACTGACCATGCTGTTTAATGGAAACTAAGGAGAAGTGTAGGACGGTAATGAGGAACAATAGCTGAAAGTGTCTCCTGAAAGAAGTCAAATGCCAAGTGTTATGTAAACTTATGTCCCTTACAAAGATATTTTTAGGTGATCAGAAATAAAAAGGCTAAAGAGAAGTCTCTGGAAATGTAGACTTGGAAGCAGTGAAGTTTTCAAAGTCTGTGACTTTACTTTTCCTAGATATTCTAGCAGCACAACGAGTTTTCTCTTTTAGATATTCAAAGATATTTTAGTATTTGGCCTGATACTTTTTAATAAGGGGTTACAGTGTTCATATTACTCTTTACATTGCACATATTTTAAAGGTAGTACTTTCATCACCTTTGAGACACTAATACCACAAGACACTAAATACTAATACGTTAAGACGTTAATGCTAGCTTAATGCAGCTTTATAACACATCCCAAGAGATATTTACAACTACCCCCTCTAATAAAACAAGAGGGTGAATTAGGGCTGAAGTTGAATGAGGTACCTGCAAGCCTCACCTCTCTTGACCTACCTAAAACCCACAGTGATTTGAGGCTTAGCCTGCCCTATACATGCAAGAAACACATCACACAGAAGACAAAACAGAATAACATAACTCAGCACCTCCAACATTCAAGGTCTTCAGTCACTCAAGCACCAATCACGAATACCAAGGTAAACTTCTTTGCTTACAGATTCCTGAGGCAATTGAACAAAGCTTAGAATTTTACTTTTTTGACATCTTGGTTATTTAAGAGAATTATGATGGAGTCTTCCAGAAAAAGATACAATTTTACATCTGTTTAAGATGAAAACACGACCAATCTCCACAACGATTTTCAGCATACCACTTGAGCAATATGCAAGGCACTTTTACTGAGTCAAATGCAAGTGAGGGAAGACACAAATTTCTTCCTGCATTCTATTTGCAGAAATGTATTACAGGAAGAAAACAGAATTAAAAAAAAATAATAATTACCCAAAACCAAACAAGCAAAACAGCAACAAAAATGAAGCAACAAATAAACAAAAACAACCCAACAAAACAAACAAAAAGTTAAAAAAAAACTCCAAAAAGCCCAAAAAACAAACCAACAAAAAAAACCCCAAACCAACCAAACAAAAAAAAAACCAAAAAACCATCCCACAATAACCACATTGCACTGGGGTGCTCAAAGAGTTAAACAGCATTTAAACATGATACCCTGTCTCCTCACCAGAAGACCCTACATTGTCAGGAGTACTTAAACGTACACTATACAACTATTCTGAAAAAAATTTAATGATGGATACTGAAAAACTTCATCCTGAATCCATGAAAGATTATTTTAATCCTACCTGATTTTAAAAATAGATGTAGGAGTATCCACATCTTCCTATCTCTCTTCTATCCCAAGAAAACCTACTTAATTTGTCAGAAGTTTCCTCAGAAGTAGAGTCAGAAAAATCTGTGTTTATATCCATTACATGTTCATTTCATCACTTACAAAATTATATTTATACCAGTAATAAATGTGATCCCAGGATACCATAGAACAGATCCTGGTGTAGCCCAGTGTTCCCATCTCTCCTCAAGACAGGAGTATGGGCAGCTCAAGGCCAGTGAGTGAAAGTGATCAGAGGTGGCGATTTGAGGTTGGCAAATGTGGAGGAGGGACTGAAGAGGCTAGGGACATTTAATTTAACAGCGAAAGCACATGGAGATTACAGATTGGGATTTCTAGTCTGAACGGGGGAAAGGTCACACCAGGATGTGCAGGTTTAGCTTAATTCTCCTGCAAAGCCAACAAAAGGCTGCCAGATGATCAGTTCTCTCCCCTTCGTAGATCACCAGTCTTTTTTCTCCTTCCCAAATGACCACTGTTCACAGTACACTCAGCCTCAAGCAGACAGCATTGCCCTGTAACACTAGCAAATGCAGACAGCAAGTGAAATGCAGCAGGTGTAAACTGAAGAAAGCAATACAGAAGAAAAAAAAGCAGAAGGAATGAGGGGGAAAAAATAAAGAAACCACCACCTTGGAATTCAAACGAAAACAGCAAAGACAGGTTCAGGCAACAGACCTGCCACAGAGAATAAGGCACAGCACAGGAGCAATCAGCGACAATCTAGACTGGAAGAGCTTACAGAGTAATTGTCACAGTTTCTGCCACTTCAGAATACTTTTTTTTTCTTTGAACCAAAACCATTATTTTTACTAAGTCTAGTAATGGTAAAAAGTTATGCAAGCCATCAGAACTGTAAGAGGTGAAGCACAAAGTTATAGGATAGGATCAGAACTCTGGCATGTCTTCCTTACTGACAGACTACAGGTAAATAACCAACTGTGATGCTTTCTACAGGAATTACTGCCTGAAATCAGGCCTCTTCTACAGGTGAAGGACAATTCTCACTATCCACGTGACCTGAAAGCCTTCCAGCCATCGCGTGTTAGATTTGCTGCTGCCTCAACACCCGCAAAGCATTTACATATCTCTGACTTCACCACCAGCCCTGAGAAAAACAAGTCAGTGGAGGCTAAAGACCAAGAGACACTAAACAGGTACTGTATGCAGCCAGCTACCTGAACATTTACCTACTCTAAATGATGTTTTTAAGGGATTCAGACTAAAAGAGTAGGCTTAGATTAGCATTAGGAAGAAGTTTTCTGCTGTGAGGCTGTTGAGGCACATGAACAGGTTGCCCAGAGAAGCTGTGGATGCCCATTCCTGGCAGCATCCAAGGCCAGGCTGGATCAGGCTTTGAGCAACCTGCTCTAGTGAAAGGTGTTCCTGCCCATGGCAGGGGGATGGGAACAAAATCATCTTTCAAGGTTCTTCCAAGCCATTCTGTGATTTTATGATTCTTTGTTAATACAAACATATGCCTGGCTTATTTCTTCATATAAGGTATATGTGTCATTGTACAACTGCTGTCTCCTAAAACCATTAAGACATTCAGGTGCCCTGAAGTCCTTAACCATGTTACTAAATGTTTACCCATGTAACTTTAAGCGCCAAACTGTTTGTGCAAATTCACAGATGTAACAAAGTTTCCACAACTGGAGCACTACCCTCCACAAAAACTGCTTGCCTTCACGGCATTTTTGGCCTCCAGAGATTTTGGTGACCAACTCTTCATAAGGAACTGTACTACAAGAGAAGGAGTATTCAGTACAAATGAGAAAGGGGCAAATTTGGACTGGGTATTATGAAGAAATTCTTTACTGTGAGGTGGGTGAGGCACTAGAAGAGTTTGTCCGGAGAGGCTGTGGATGCTGGAAGTCTGGCAGTGTTCAAGGCCAGGCTGAATGAAGCTCTAAGCTATTTGGTCTCGTGGAATGTGTCCCTGGACATGGCATGGGGCTATATGGCTTCTAGGTCCATTCCAGCTCCCGGACAGTCTATGACTTTGTATTTACTCGGGAAATATAAACAAACGCGTGCCACAGGTCCGGAAGAGGCTGCTCTGAAGCGGCTTTGCCCGAGCACCTTCCGCTTCTCCCCAGGAACCGCCGCGGCGTGCGGGGACAGCACCAGCCGCCTCCCCGCACCAGCGCCAGGCGAGGCCACCGGCATCCCCCTCGCACCGGAGCCACAAATCCCGGCCTGCACACAGCCGGCCTGCCTCACCTGCAGACGGCGCGCACCTCGGCCGCCGTGCCCGGCGCGCAGCCCAGCGCCGCCGCCACGGCCGCGTCCTCCTCCTCCTCCTCCTCTTGCGCCTCCGCCGCCAGCGAGAGGTCGGGCGGCCCCAGCAGCCGCCGCCAGCCGAGGCCCAGGGCGCCCACGCGGAACGCGCGCGTGTACAGCTCGGCCAACTCGTAATCGGGCACCACGGCCGCCATGGCCGCCATGGCCGCCGGGCCCGCCCTGCGCCCGGCCCGCCACACGCGTCACGGGCCGCGGGCGGGAGCGGGGGCTGCGCCTGACCGGGAAAGCGGCTGCCGTGCCTCTCCTGCCGGGCGGAAAACGTCGGGCAGCGCTCGCTAGGGAGAAAACAGCTCCCGAAACAAACAAAAAAAGACAAAAAAAAAAAAAAAAAAAAAAAAAAAACACACCAAAACCAACAAAACAAAAAAGCCCAAACAAAACAAAACATAATACTGGCACAGCTTAAGACTGTCCCCTCATTCTGCTACTTGTTATCTGGGGAAAAAGACCGATCCCCACCTGGCTACACTCTCCTTTAATATGCTTATTCTTCCAAAGTAAAAACTTAATGCCTTGGTACCATGGAAAAGGCTAATGAGATACATAACCTATTACCTAACACTGCTCATACCAACATTTAAAAAAAGGAGATATATAGATATATAGATATATAGATATATAGATATATAGATATATAGATATATAGATATATAGATATATAGATATATAGATATATAGATATATATATGCCAATCATCTGGTAGTTCCCCACTGAAGTAGTGTGACAAGGCTGACATGAGCACAACGTGTTAAGGAAGACAACAGAGGTAAATCTGGCTTGCCCTAACCTGATATACCTGGTGCACATACCCATGGAACCACAGCCTTTGCACTTGCTTCAAGACAAAATATCAATGGAATCAGAGAATCAAAGTATGGCTTGAGTTCAAAGCGACCTTAAAGATCATCTTGTTACAACACTCACTGCTGTGAACAGGGATACCTTCCAGTGGAACACGTCACTCAATTACCCTGTCCAGCCTGATCTTGGACATTACTGGGGATGGGACATCCACAGCCTTTTTGATCATCCTGCTCCAGTGCTTAGCCCTCACAGTATTCATCTTAACATCTAATCTAAACTTGCCTTTTTTCAATTTAAAGCTATTGCCTCTTTTCTTGTCACTACCTGCCTTTATAAAATCTCTTTTTCCTTTTTGTAAGCCCCCTTGAGGTACTGGAAGGCCATAGTGAAGTCTCCCTGAAGCCTTCTCTCCTCCATAGAGAACAACTATGAACAAGTCCAGCTACCTCAGCTATTCCTCTTACTTCTCTAACTAAAAAAAATTATGCTGGGAAAAGAGGTGTATTGTCAGATAGTGTTGAAGCAAGGGGTGAAGATAAACCTGAAAAAGTTCATGAAAGGAGACTGGGTTTTTGCATGCTGTATGGAATGGGCGGAATGCTGAGAGAAGGTTATGACATTTGCCTGCTAGTTTCACTAAACAAAGTAGTATAGGAAGAGTTAAGAATGTAAGAAAGCTCAGCCAGAGCATATTTTGCTTTGTTTAGCAATAACAACGTGGCCTAATGCCCTTATACCTCCCCCAGTTACATTCAGATTTGCACTGCATTTCAATGCTGAATTCTTTTATTAGCTCTCATTAACTTCTGCCTCTTAATTGTAGTTATTATTCCTCATTAGGAAAGTTTTGCTAAGCTCCATTTTTCCTGTAAGTATAGACAGTCTCTGTTTCCTTCTTCAGTTACACCCTCTGCTTTCTTCATCCATCACCTTTGTGCTTCATGACACTCCTCAGCTTTGCAAGAAGCTCTTGATTAAGAGCTATTGCCCTCACTTCCTGTTGCATCCTCCCTGAAACCTATGAGTTGTGCCATGAGGAATATCATTCCAATTTCCAAGGCCATGCCTGCCTTGTTATGTGTTTGTTGATATTGCCTATGCTCTATTTATTTTATTTTCCTTTGTACACTTGCAACATTACCTGAAATCTGAAAACACCCTGTCACTTATCTGATGTAGCCACATCTAGGGTGGGAGTGACAGGGCTGTACTGATCTAAACGCAGTGTTGACATAAACAGGTGGGAGGAATTTCAGCCAAAGAGTTGCAGGATTAAACCTTACTCTTCCAGAAATCTATCAGGGATTTTTAGTGTTCCATAGAAAGGAAATAAGATACTTCTTTCAAAAACCTTCCTCAGAAAACCAAATACTGTGGAAATCAGGGGGCAGGGTTTTTTTGTAAGACCATGTGAAAATGACATCACAGAATTCCCCACCACAAGGATGGTCACTGCCAAACACAACAGTGTCACAGAGGATAGCAAGGTTTGGAAGGAGCTAGAGGCTGCTGTGCTGTAAGTATTTATGGTTTTTGTCATAGTCCCATGGATTTTGACAGATACAATATAGTTAGATATATAAATTTCCCTCACTGCCTCTCTTCCTTTTCCTCGTGGTGAGTTTGATTTTGAAGTTCTTCTGTATTCATTTAAAAAAATCCAAAATTGTAAAATACACAGACCTCAAGCAGGAAGACTTAATAAGAAGCTCAGGGAATGGCTAAGTTCCTTGAAAATACCAAAGCTGGTAATTTTAAAACATGAATGGATAATATGTTTTCTGTTTTGTTTCCAAATTTCAGTACTAAGCAATCATATACTTATAAAGCCACTCCACTCAATCCAAATCCTCTTAAGAACAAAGAGAGCGATTTATTTTTATAGCTTGGAATTAATCTGCCCTTTATATACTAGGCATAAGGCCCATGGGCATTTCAAGGTTTCCAAGAAGTATTTACTTTTCTCTGCTGGAAATACTTTAATAATTCAATAATAAAGCCATGAAGGATGTATGAACAACTCAAGGAATATAAACTGCAGGTATTAGGCTGAATTCTGTCTTACATGCTGAAATCCAAAGAGCATTGAAAGTACACTGAGTTGAAGAAGTGAAGATAGTATGAAAGATAACTGGAAAACAAACTAATAAAAGTACTGTACTTGCCAGAGGAATCGAGAAAATTGTAACCTATGTGTATTCTGTATTTTGTAGTACTGTGGTATCCTGTGAGCTTGAAACACTAATTTCCATGTAATTACAGCTACAGTCAGTAAATGCTGTGGATATATAACTACTTTGAAAAGCTGATCCTAAATGGTCTTGTGAATCTAAAGTAAAGAACCCTAAACCCCTGAGTTCCAGGCTAGTCTCCTAACACAAGAAACACCCTTCTTTCCTTTCTTGATTCACACAACTGTAGTAGAGCATAAATTTTGTGAAGCTAATTACATTCCATGTTAGTATTGAACTATACTTCCTCTAACAGATATAACCTTAATATAATAACATGAGAATGCTTATTAAAGGCTAGTTTGGTAGCATAATCATAAATTAAATTTTCTGCTAGTCCCAGCCCTGTGTCGTGTCACTGAATTTACTGGGCTTGCACTTCAATCCAAGTAATGATCACAATGATCATCACTTAAGCTCCAACAGGAGTATTATGACTAACAAACTTAGTATTTGTAGGTAGTCTAAAAATACCTTTGGCAAACTGGTGTTGAACGTTATTTTTATTCAGTGTTTTAGAATTTGCTTCATCCTTGTTCGTTACACCAAGGTTGAGCTCTGTGTTACCATTGTACCTTGGCAGGCAAGGAACACTGTCACTGTTTTTCAAGCACTGACTGTGTCAGCACAGCAATTACAGAACTATGCAGAGGGCTGTAATTTTGGGAGATGAACTTTCAGCAGTTGTCAGGTTTTTTTTCTTTGTCATGCACTCTACTTCTGGCCTTTGTTCTGGACAGCAGCACCCAAAGAACTGATCAAACATAGTTGAAAGCACTGCCCAAACCCTTCTGAGCAAGGATTTTCTAACTTGGCCTATGCTAAGCTGTGATGTTTATAGGATAATCTCACACAGGGGTGCACCAGGACAGTTGTTCCCACCAGAAGTGGAAACAAAAGGGAAGGTCTAGAAACATCTGTCCTGTCACTGCTTCCAAAATTCCCATGACAATGAAGAGTGGTCTAGGGGTGTAGCAATCTTTGCGTCAAAGACTCTCAAAGTCAGCCAACAACATCTTTTACTATTACACCTGAACAAGAATTGCATTCCTAAAATGTAGCAATAGTTGGGACAAAACATATCTTACCTTACTTTTATAACAAATACAATAAAATATTAATGTATGGTAACACATCATAATGGCTCTACATGAATCTTTGTTTAAACATGAAAACCTGGAGGCAATTTGAAAGCTCTGTAACTAAAATATTAATTCTGTCCAAAGACAGATGTTTAACTCACTTTTGGCTCGGTTCACATTTGGTTCAGATGATTTTTGCATCTCGTCTCAAAAGTGAGAGTACTTCCCAAGGGTAGCACATTGTTTTGCCAGAGTATATAGTACGTTGTTTTGCTCTCACACAAGGTAAACAGAAACAACCAAAAAAACTCAAACCAAATGAAAACAAAAAAAAGGGAAACATATGTGATTGGTAATTTCTGAAATTTTTTTCTGTCATTTTTTGGAATGAATTTTCTGAATTTCTAATTTTCTGAATATTTCTGTTGCATAACTTAATTGAGAATCAAATGAGTACAGGATGCTTTCATCTCATGAATGCTGAGTAGTCAGAATGATTTCTCTCAAGGGTTTTCATCTATCTCTAATGCTTGTTCTTGCCTGCCATTAAAACAGATGAAGGTTGAAGAAGAAAAGCTTAAGAGAAAGATGATAATAAGGATGCATATAATCCAAACCAGATCAAACAGGGACTTAGTTTTCAGATGTTGCTGAACCACATCAATCTGGCAGCTGAATTTGAGTAGACTATTAGAATAAGCAATGAAGTGCGCCAATAGGGATAATTAAATTTAAAAATTGTAAGATGCAGGATATATTACGTACTTGATCTCCCTTGGTGGGGTCTCTTTTGAAGGTTTATACTATACATATACATATACATATACATATACATATACATATACATATACATATACATATACATATACATATACATATACCATATACCATATACCATATACCATATACCATATACCATATACCATATACCATATACCACATATACATTTTCTTCCAGGAAATTTCTGCCAAAATTTTCCATCATCAAAAGTTTAGGTATTCTTTCCAGAAAATTGTATCTGAATCTCAATGACAGTCAAC